ATATCTCTCAATTAAATTTATCCGAAAATCGATATGGACAGCGGAACTCTATGCACTACACGCCGCGTAGATCGTAGACATTTCTTCCAGTGTCCTTCATAATGTGTACGTGTAGCGCGGTGGTTGGAGGCGCCACTGTGACACACACATGGAATCGATCCCCGCGCCCATGGCCAACCAAGACTTCCATGCCTCCGGGGTCGGCAGATTTGTGCCAGACTTGTCTGGGAGGATAGCAGCACTGTCTAGATACATCGGTAGGCCACCGCGAGTTACTGCAGAGGCGAGATATGCATTCAATCTCCTCCAACGATACTTGATGAAGTTGAATGCATGGCGCATCCCTTAGAGATTCATCAATGCAGAGAGTTTTATCCTTTTATCCTTTTATCCTTCACAATGTAGCAGGAATCCTCACCATGCACCTAAAAATCGATCGTAAACATCATCACTCGATTCCTAAAGGAAATGGTGACTGCACATTAAAGCTATTACTAAAGTATGAAGGTTTAAAAGGAAGAAAGGGGTTTGTTGTCTCGGAGATGACCGACCCATGATCCGTTGATGAGCGAGTGGCGCCTTCACCACTACACTATACAATAGGAGATATAGGAGAAAACGAAACAGACAAATGGTATTAATTTTTCCCGATGTCCTCCCAAGCAAGTCTGGTACCAATTTGCCGAACCCAGAGAAAAGGAATAGTCGGTGAGCGTTGGACGCGGGATCGATACCATATGCACCTCTGACCACTGCGGTACACGCCCCTATACAGCAAGTTATTATGTGAAATTCAACCATAATGATGTTGAGATCTTTGCAAAACTTGGACCCCAGTGCATATGGAACCCTGATTACCCGAGCCGCTCACGTGTCACGCACGGTACCACTGAGGCCCGCGTTCTGCCTTTTCAGTCTTTTCCCCTAGCAGTACCATCAACAAGCACCCATTAAGTAACACCAGTTTAATCTCGCCTGGGGTCCAAGTTTTGCAGATATCACAGCATCATTGTGATTGTAACTCAGCAAACAGCTAAAATTTTTCATAATTTCAGTGAAATGGTTGTATCCTTATCTCTTAATGGTAGATTCTACTAGATAGTAAAGCTTTTTTCAGTTACACATGTATGGCAAGAAATATTCACGGCCGAATTGAGCATACCGTGAAAGTGCACGTGGTGAGCAGGTTGGTAACCTTTGATCTACTCCCTAGCAAATGATCAATAGTGCCTTTGCGTTCAGTATCCCGCCCAACATCTATGATGGTCCCGAGCATCAAAAGGTGCCCGTAGGTGAGCAGGTACGTCAATGTTCAACAATATTTCAAACTAACTGTTTAAAAAGGTGTACAAGGTGTTGTTTCAAACTAACATTTTGGTTAAGCGTTTTGAGTATTCGCAAAAAACAGTGGTTGAATTGATTTTAATTTCTTTATCATTAAACCTCTGCTTTATATCACTTTGTCATATGGGCGCGTGTGGTGCAGTGGTTGGAGGCGCCACTGCGGCACATACGTGGAATCGATTCACGCGCCTGTGGCCCACCAAGCCTTCCCTCCCTCCAGGGTCGGCAGATTCATACCAGACTTGCTTGGGAGGATAGCAGTACTAGCTCGATATATCGGTAGGCCGCCGTGAGTCAATGTAAAGGCAAGATATACATTCAATCACCTCCAACGTTGCTTAATGAAGTCGAATGCATGGAGCATCCCTCAGGAATTGATCAACGCCGAGTGCTTTATCCTTTTTATTTTTATTATCATTCTGGGCGGCAACAAATGGAATAGAATGCATATCCGTTATCCCTAAACTTCCATGATGATTTAACGACAATGATGCTGAGATAGTTCCCAAGAACGACTTTTTATTAACCTCGGCATTGGATTAAAAATCTGTTGTTTTTTTTACACCAATCGCGAGGTTGTTAATCAGTATACGTTTAATTCTTCACAAATATAGCACATACAACACAATGCTTCTCTGCTATTCATTCTCGGTTTTTCGGAATTTATCCAAAAAGCCTCGAGAAGTTTTCGCGCTGGTGCTTTGGACTCCTGTGCAAGGATATTGACTTTTACATCGAAATCTTCTCCGCTATGTTTTGTATCCTATGCGTGCCTAGAGGCATGCCTTGTTTTGACTCTCGTTTGCCACCTAGATGTTCTTTTATGCGGTTACATAAAAGTCTGCCCGTTTCGCCGATATATTCGTCTCCGCAAGTACTACAAGAAATTAGGTATATCGTACCTGAACTCATGCAATCATCATCCCTGCCGTAAGGGCAAATTACACAACTTGGTAGAGATGGTGACGGAGTTCGGGTACAGTCTATCTGGTCTCTTGTAAAGCGTGCGGGGACGAATACGTTGGCGAAACGGGTAGACCACTTTGCGTATGTATAAAAGAACACCTAGTCGGCAAACGTAAACCAAATACTCCACTTGGCACGCATAGGACGCAGAGACATAACGGAGAAGATTTTGAAGTAAGCGTTACGATCCTCGCGCAAGAATCGGGAACACAAGCGCACAAAACTCTGCAGGTATTCTGGATTAATTCCAAGGATCTGAAAATGAACTGTAAGGAGGAATGCCTCATTATCACCCGTGATATTGGACAGTATATAAACCTGTTATTCTGATAGGAGGGCACATTACGCTTCCATGTAAATTCTGTGCGGTCGGTCTTCACACGAAATACTCAGTGGAATACTCATAGAAAGCGGTGAGTGTGCAGAGCTGTGTTAAATGTGATTGAAATCTTGGTTTAGCGTTTTCTCTGTGTGGTTATGGAGGTTTTAGCCGAATAGGTCGCTGTCAACTTGACCTTTCCAGGCTCTGAGGAAGGCGCAATCCGCCGGAACGTCGGCTTGTACGTAAATAAGGAAATAAAATAGTACCTCGTGTGTACTGAACAGAAGTAGAAAGAATTATTCAATCAATACCGAGGTTGGTAGAAAATCGGACTTAGGAGTTACACAATTTGGTCTTTCACATAAACGGTCATACAGGCGGTTACGAACCAATTGACGACGGAGAGTATCCGGTAGTATTTCAACTATCGCCACCGATTCCTCTAGATCTGCGCTTAAGCATCGCTTTATCGCCGCACTTATTTCATCGCTAATGAAGGGTAAGATAAATAAGGATTTCGTTTTGACCAAACCCTTCGTTTTGGAACGTCGCTCTCCTTCTAAACTTATACCTCGTTGGATTACTATTTCGCAGCCATTGGAGATGGCTATTTGCCAAGCCAAGTCGTGCGACTCTTCCTTTAGTTACCTGGTAGTGCGCACAGAGGTGACTGTTCGAAACATGTTTCTCACAATCTCCCTATTTGTGTGTGAAGGGTGGGAGGAAAGGAAATGAACGAGGATGTTCTTGTCACTTGGTCTTCGGTATCACTTGGTCATGTAACCGCTACTTGATAGGTTTATTTAAACGTTTAAAAACGGAAGCCAGTTTCTTCTCGGTTTCTCCCGGGTGAAGTTAATGTACTCAGACTGCTCGTTCAATAATTCGAAGCATTTGTCCATCTCCTCCTGCCGTAGAGAAGACGACAAAAAGTCACCTATGTACCTACAGTAGAGTATTGGCCGGAGACCGAGAACGGGGGCATCAACTTTAGACATAAACTCAATGGCTAGGCTTAGTGTCAGTAGCTGTCCCATTGCCAGCCATCTTATTTGCACGAAATATTTTTCAGATCATCTGAAAATCGAGCAGTTTAGGCACTCCTTTAAGGGAGCCGTAAGCTGCTGAATAGACAAGCTATGCATGTGTGTTCCTCATTCATGTTTAGCAAGAAGTTTGTGGATGGCTTGCATTGCGGAGTCATTAGATACGTTGGTGTAAAGCGCAGAAACATCGAATGACTCCATCACGTACGCATTATTAGGAGACGCGTTACGTATACGTTCTAGAAACATTTGGGTGTTCGTGAGGTGAGCTGGAATATGTTTAAGCAACTGAGGTAGTATCAGGCTTAGAAACCAGGTTACCTATCCGTTGGCCCGTCTACAGAGCTGATGATTGTTTTAACCTCAAATTATTACGCATTAGTTGACGCAAAATCATCAGGTGATACTAACTTATTTGTTTTAATGAGTGGGTGTAAGAAGAGGCGTGTTGGTCTATCGATTTTAAAGTGCGAAATAACCGACGATTTTAAGCCTGCCGCCTTTGCTACTTTAACTCACTGATTGTTTTGTTTTCGGTATTGACTTTTGTATTCCCTTTCAGATGATGGGCAATAAAGAGTAACATCACTAAGGTATTCCTCAGTTATCTTAACATCTAGCTGACGGGGAATAACTGCGAACTCTTTCCCTTATCACTAGCTGATAGCCTAATGGTCTCTGAATTTATTAAATCTCCATTTTTTCGTATGCCACATCTTTTGCATCATCTGTGCCGATAAGATTAGAGATAAATCTTCGGTCTCGATAGTGATTAACAGTGTTGAGAACGCCGTCCGAAAAAATGTGGAATTTTATGTCTACTCCATCGTTAGGGTCCTGCTATCTAAAAACGTTCTAGGGAAAGGAGACAGTGGTAATGTCGCCACCTCTTGGTTTCCACCACTATTTGATGTTTCTTGTTTGGCCTGATACGGAGTCGATCTTGAAGCTCATAAAGGTTGCATTCTATCCTACGCAGGGTCGTTTTAAAAATGGGTTGTGATGGTGCAAAACTTGGGTCCAATTCTAATAGCGGCCGCGCACTCTTAGGTATTATTATGCCCCAATCACGGTGACCCTAGATTTTCTTGCTGTATTATCAACCGTACTTTGACTCCTAGCAAGTTTCATTTGTCTGTGATTTCTTGAAGCCGAGACACGCGAATTAGTCAACAGATTCTCAAACTTTCGCTTCAAGGTTATTTTAGCATCAGACCTAATAGAACTGCATATCAGTATTGACCCACCAACTATTCTCCTTCAAAGTTGATCCTCCGAATACAAAACACAAAAATGTTCCTTCGTCACACATTTCATCCTTCTTGCGAACATATCGTTTCGCTTGCTTAGCTTTCGAGTGCAACGGGAACATAGTGAAGAGAACAAGGATCACCCGATTCCGTACCCATCTTTTTAACGCGACGATTCTTCCTGCCTTAGCCGATGCGTCAGAAAACTAGTCGCAACGTAAGCAGGATCAGAGATCACTGATCGTTATGAACTTGCAGTCAAAATGACGGTGCTCCATGTATCCGTTATCACAGAAGTGAGAAAGAGGCCCATAATTTAAGACCTATGCCAAAGACGAGACGTTGGAGACGTTATCATACGCCTCAAAACTTTAAAAAATACTTGGCGTGAGCACATAATGCGTTTGGATGACAACGAAAGGACAAGAGCTGTTAGCGACGAGTTCCCTCGGGATGTTAAACAAGCAGCAAGAATACTACTACATCGGTGCTTAGAGTTCTTCACGAAACCCCTAGAGGAAAGGTATGACGCTCAACGACTCACTAGAGTGAGCAGAATCCACTGGGCTACTTTTGCACGAGACACAGAGAACTGGAAAGCGTACTGGCGCCTAGTCGAGCCACTGAATGACCAACGGAACAACGCGTGGGTGGTGACCTCCATAGTAAAATGTTTCTACTAACCTCGTTTTTTTTTGCTATCTTGATTGCCTATTGTGGAAAATAAACTGAGACGCGTTACTCGCTAATTCAATAACGGAGGAATACTGTTTGCATCTGAATAGAGCTCTTCCTCATCCGTTTAGGCAACGTTCGTTTGTCGAGCGAGAGGAGTACCGAGACCAGAAATCACATGGTTCTATGAGGGTTCCGTCATACCGCATATTAAAGGGCGCTTTTTGGTGAGTACGGTAACTGGTTAGTTATTTCCCTCTGAGAAGTCGAGATATATCTATGGCTGATCTGAAAATCTTTCACAAATATGGTTTTTTCGTTCGAAATTTCTTCTGCTGAAAGGTTTCATTATCCTAATTTTCAAAAAAAAAGCGTGGGTAAGACGGCATAGCTTTTGAAATATTTAGCCTTTATTTTATATCTTATCCCCCGACGCTCAAGCCTAATAGGCGTTTTGAGTTTTTGCTTGACGATAGTAATGGACTGACTGAAAATGACACCTTCGCTTTTTATTTAGTACCCATTTATTTATTGACTTCATTAGCTTTGTTTCAGGATGATCTCTACCCAGTGCACAGCAATTTTTATCTGATTTTCTGACAAGTATAAAGCCTTGTATAACTTAAACCATATACCAATGAGGACAATGAGCTGTATGAATTGGCTTTTTAAATGTTTCTTGAATAGAAGCGTTCCGCTTCGAGCTCACCAACCCTTTAACCTCTCTGGGGCCAAAAAATTGATACCGGTTTTGTCCGAGAAAAAAATGTTTCTCTGCAACCCAAGTAGGAACGCTCCACCTCGGCTATCTCAGGACTCCAGGAAGAATAGACTAAACCAGCATTCTACAACCTTCAAGATGAAATGAAAATCCTCAAGTTGCAGTCGAAGCCACACGTAAAAATTGGAAGACCTCAGCGGATGACGGATGCGAGGAAACGAATCGAAGTGCTGGGATTCGCACCGTAAATGTGAAAGACGGATCACATAAAGCAAAATGAAATAAAGAAAATCCGTGAATTAAAAGTAAATGGCCTTGGTTTTAGGTTTCAGATGACGGTGCTGAGTTGACGATCTCGAAGGTGACACGACAAGACGAAGGGGTCTACTCGTGCTTGGCTGGCAATAGTGTGGGCGCGATGATGGCCGACGCCAAGCTCAGCGTCGATGGTGACTTCGATAATACGGTAAGATGTCAGTCGTTGTGTTTCAGTTGCAGTAGTTCTAGGGACAGTAGATATCTCCGTGTTCAGCTTCTGATGGATTACATTGGTGGCTGTTGTGTTGATTTTGTTGGAGAGATGTAGCCAAAACGATGGGTAAAGGAATAGAATTTTTATCATGACAGTTACGTTATTGTGTGATGATTCTGTCACGTGGACCTTCCTGATAGGTCAAGTCTTAAACATGGGCACATACTCCCCGGAAAGGACAATAGCGCGTTCGTTCCCCACCATAGACACCTGCGGTCCAGAGTTTTGCAAATATCTCAGCAACGTTGTGGTTGTATTTCGCTTAGTACCCTGCCGCGAAATTATAGTAGGCAGAACATAAAAAGGTATAACATTGTGATTTCAACTACAGCCGCAGCTTAACTGGGTTCTATGCCGATTTGGGCGCCCCAGATCAATCCCGCTGACGGGTGATTGCTGCGGCAAAAGATCGATAGAAATAGCTGAGAGAAAGCGAAACGAAGGACCCGCATGGTGTGGTGGTGAACGCAATGTTGTGATTGTAGAGAGAGTCAACTTTACAAGCATTTGACAACATTCATAAAGAAAGCGAGGTCATCAACTGAGAGCTGAACCCATCCGCAAATCTGAAGACCTTTGTGGATGAGAAATGCAGGACAACTCACCCAAATGAAGGAAAGGCTGGTACAACAATTCGCACAATACACAATGCTCAGTCATATAAAAAAAAAGCAATAGAATTTCAATAATTACAATGCTGAGATATTTGCAAAACTCCGGACCGCAGGTGCTTGCGGTGGGGGAAGAAAGCGCNACAATGCTCAGTCATATAAAAAAAAAGCAATAGAATTTCAATAATTACAATGCTGAGATATTTGCAAAACTCCGGACCGCAGGTGCTTGCGGTGGGGAACGAACGCGCTATTGTCCTTTACGGGGAGTAACGCGTTCACCACCACATCATACGGGTCCTTCATTTCGCCTGTCTCTCAGCTAGTTCTATCGATCTTTTATCATCAGCAATCACACTGAGAGACAGGTGAAACCAAGGACCCGCATGGTGTGGTGGTGGTCGCGTTACTCCACGGAAAGAACAATAGCGCGTTCGTTCCCCACCGCATACACCTGCTGTCCGCAGTTTTGCAAATATCTCAGCATTATAATAATTATATTTCGCAAAATACTCTGCCGTTTGAAAAAAAATAGGCAGTTAATAAAATGGTTAAAATTTTAGTTATTAAATGGAACTTATGCAAATAAAGCAGAATACGACGACGATAATATGATTCTAGGTGGACACGTTCATTGATGATGCCACGCTGAAGACGATCGCCACTCAGGCCAGAGACAATGTGGACAGGTATGGGACTTGAAGAGACGTTTCACCTAATAAGAATTATGACATATTTTGCAAGAAAATAGAAGAGTTGCCTATAGGGTAATGGTTAGAGATGCTCTGCAGAACACAGTGGTACCATTACTGGTTGGATCCTCTGGCTGGGTTCATCAAGCCTCTCATTCTTCAGGGATTTGTATGGGAGGATAAAAACACTGACTTGATACACAGCTGGTAGAATTCAAGTCGATACATAGGCCATATCTGCATTTGTTTTACCTCTACGATGCTACTGATGGAGTCGAATGCATGACACATGCCTCAAGAATCGATCGTCGCCGAATGCTTAATCCTCCATGCAGAAACAAATGACTGAGCTTTTTTCATTTGGGTGTTTCTCGTGCTCGCGCAAGTTCTATTTTTCCCGCTGTTTAAGGATCAAAGCAATGAGGGCTGACATCATTACAATCTTCATTTAGAGCCGTCGACAGTACTCGACTTCAGCTATCACAAGAACGTGTTTCCGATCCTGAAGATCTAAAACGACTTTTCCGCTTTTCTATTCCAGCTAGGGCAAGTGTCTGAGATGTCCTCATTTATTGATAAAAGCTATTTTTTGAAATTTTTTCTTACCTGGTTCTAATTTCATGAGCCGACCATTCATTTACTTCAGGCAGTAGAACTAAGCAAAGCACGCGATATCTATGAAGAAAGTGTCAGACTGGTTCAGGAACACATTCAGAGAGGTTTCCGGACTTTCCATTTGTCTTTTTTTTAGGATTATTGTTATCTATTTGATTTTACTGTCACTAATATTTCTTACCGTGAAAATATTGGAAATTTCTTCAAGGTCTTCACCTGCCGGTAGATAAACTGACTCCGAACGTTTCCTACGAAGCCGTGTTGGCCCCATCACACGTGCAGACATTAATGGAATTGTCCGGTTGTCAGACAGGCCAGTTCAAAACCGCATGCACTGACATGTGCTTTCACAGCAAATACAGGTTCGTAGGAATGGTCTTTAGATTAGACAGTTTGTTGAAAGTAATGCAATGAAGAAAGTTCAATAGAAGTACTGGATTTTTACTGGTCAAGTCGTACTCAAGCAATATCTTGTAGGAATTAAAAGAATAAAAGAATAAAGCTCTCGGCGTTGATCAATCCCTGAAAGATGTGCCATGCATTCGACTTCATCAAGTATCGTTGGAGGAGATTGAATAGCATATCTCACCTCTACAGTAATTCGCGGTGGCCTACCGATGTCGAGCCAGTGTTGCTATCCGCCCAGATGAGTCTGGTTCCAATTTGCCGACTCCGGAGGGATAGAAGGCTTGGTGGCCCATGGGCGCGGGGATCGATCGCACGTGTGTTGCAGGGCGCCTCTGACCACTGCACCACATGCGTCCCTACGCTAGAGGTGAATTACCAATGTAAATCATGTCGTTTATCCACTTCACGATGGAGATGGTAGGGAGTGAATCAGTGCAACGTAAACAAAGTGATGTGCCGTTTATAATGTTCGTGGTATATTTGGAAATATTGGGTAATTCCCAAGATCGACTTTCTATTAACCTCGGCATTGGATTATAAATCTGCTGTTCTCTTTTTTTTTACAGCAATCGCGAGGTTGTTATTCAGCACACCAGACTCTGAAGAAGGCGATACTGCCGAAATATCAGCTACCGTTGTCTTTTATGTGTTATATTTGTAAGGAAGTAAAGTTCTGATGAATAACAACCTCGCGATTGCTGTAAAAAAAGAGAACAACATATTGGGTAGTGTTTGAGTGGAAACATAGTTTAAAGATGAGCTACTCATTTAATCCATTTCTGTTTAATCTATCGTTATTTATTCTTTTAAGGATTAGCGTCTTCTTTAGATCATACGACGGCCAATGCAATAATTTCGAGCATCCAATGTGGGGTGTCTCTCAGATGCCACTGTTACGTCTTCTTCCGCCAATCTATGAAAACGGCTTTAGTACACCGGTCGGTTGGGAACATGGACGTCTCTATTATGGATATCCAAAGCCAAATCCGAGAGAGGTCGGTAAACTATTTCTTTTTCCTATCTGTTAAGAGCGCAGTTGGAAGAAGGATTTACGTGGCCCATGTGACTGGAAAATTCATGAGAACGTTGCCTATCAAGATTTATCCGTATTCTCTCCCGAAACAATTGCAAGGCCTTCCGTAAACGCATAATATCTATAAAGAGAAGAAAAGGAAATGTAAATCTATGGGTGGATTGATTAAGTTTACTGTTTCACACGCTTAAATACGACAGGACCATGGAGAAGAGAATTTTACGAAATTAATAAACAAAAAAATAACTAGATTGTAGACTATATAAATAAAAGATATGTAAATAAATTGGAAATTGTTGTGAGTTGGTCACTTTTTGTTTCTATTTGAACATAATGCGTAGAATTCTTAATAAGTCATACTTTGTCTGCCAAGAGCAGAATGTCACTATAGAAATGCCATTCACTTGAAAGTACCATGCGAAGTCGTATGCCACAAATGTTTCAAGGTTTCGCGGTTACTCGTAAGAACAAAGTCGATAACTCCACATTCGTATCTCTCAGCTATGGTGATGCAATGGGGTCAGTTCGTAGGTGAGTTCACCTGATTTTCTTCGTTTCTTTGACGTTTTGCAGCAGCATAAAGACACTTGAACCAAATCGACTGTGATTGGTCGTTGCGTGGTGGACGTGGTTTCCGCACGAGCTTTTTAGTGACATCAGCTAATCACATTCGGCAGGCCCATCTCTTTCTTTTTCTTCTATTTTAGCAGCAACTTTCTACTTGCCTTGCATCTAAGTGGTCTTTAGTTATTATCATAATCATCTTTCCATTGTTTTTGCCTTCAGATCATGATCTCACACATACAGCAACAGCGCTCTCACGACAAAGCTACGCTTCTGGAGCCATCTGCAATAGGACATGTGCAAATTTGGATCCATGTTTCAATATTCCACTTCCACCCAATGATTCAAAACTTCATACTGGAATGTGTGTGGATTCCTATGTTCACGTTCTCACATTTTTTTTGAAAGTATTATGAGAATATAGGAGCGTAGTTACAAATTTTATCTTCTTTGGTGAAACCAGTTCTAAGATGGTCAGATCACCGTTTGAAGCCATTAGAAACATTTTCAATCATTCCTCTAAGTGACCTTATTTCGAACGAGGGAACTGCATTTATTTTTCACCTGAAAAAAGGACTGTGGGAAAGCTATTTTTCAACTCTTTATTTACTTTTGTTTACTAGTCTATTCTGCCCTCCAAATGAGTAGAACTTTATGCAGGCATGTTAATGAATTTAACTCCACCTATCGATCTGAGAACTTTAAAATCAATTACTGGTATCTAAGAAACTCATCACTACGGTAGAGAGCAGCTTTAATAGTGCCTTATAAGAAAGTTTAGGCATTTTCATTGTGGAATTGACAATTATACAAGTTAGGAATTTTTGGAAGTAATATCTACATTGCTATTTAGCCATTCGAAGTATCCTTGCATTGAATTTGAACGGAGCGGTGCTGTTTGTGGTAGCGGTGAGACGTCGTTGATTTTCCAGCGCGTCACCTACAGAGATCAAATGAACATCGTAAGTGTCTCTCTGCTTTCGCATTACTTTCATTGGTGGAATAGTGTCTTTAACTGATCTCGATCATTTCTAAAAACTATTAAGCTCGTTTCGGCCCTGTGCCAAATGATGGTCATCGGTATTTCAGGGAAAAATTCCTAACTTCTTCCTTTTTCTTGGATAATTTAGCTTCAGTCACTAATTAATTTATCGTTGTCAACCGTTCAAAATTTCGCAGACCATAAATTGGAATTCTTTGAGAGGAAAATTTTATAACTGAAAATTTTTGTAAAGCTTATACTTATGTTCTAAGAAAAGTAAGACTACTTGTGCAACGAGCTTGCCGATGGAGGAAATGAGCAAGCGCCCGAAATGAAAAAATCACAACGGGAAGACGAATACAGTTTTAGAAATAAAGGATAAGTAAATATGAGAGCGAAAGAAAGAAAATAAATATCAGAAAGTAAAATAAGCATTCCCGATTGCGGGAAATCCATTAAACTAACCAGAATATTCAGATTACTTCCTACCTGGATGGTTCGGCCGTTTATGGAAGTACGGAGGTCCAAGCGCTGGAACTCCGAGATCTTTTCGGTGATCATGGACAGATGCGGTTTGATATTGTATCAATGTGGGTTCAGTTATTCTCGAGAATACTGCATTAATATTGTTATTTGTGCATAGTTGGGCGCGTGTGGTGCAATGGGTGGAGGTGCCCTGCGACACACACGTAGGATCGATCCACGCGCCCATGGGCCACCAAGCCTTCCATCCTTCAGGGGTTGGAAAATTGGTACCAGAGTTGTCTGAGAGGACAGCAGCACTGGCTCGATACATCGCTAGGCCACCGCGAGTCATTGTAAAGGCTAGATATGCATTCAATCGCCTCCAAACGAGCTTAATGAAATCGAATGCATTGAGCATCCCTAAGGAACCGATCAACGCCGAGAGCATTATCCTTTATTTATTTCTGTATAGTTATAAGCTGAATATGGACAATGCTCGAAATAGCCGCTCAGTAATGCTAAGATATTTGCAAATCTCTGGACCTCAAGTGTCTGTAGTAAGAATCGAACACGCTACTACACTTTCCGGGGGCAAACACCTTCACCACCACACCGTGCGAGTCCTCCTCATATCAATATCTCAGCATTATTGTGGTCGTAGTTCACATCATACCGTCTCATGAAAAAGAATAGGTAGTAAATAAAAAGTGGTTGTTTATCCCATCAGTGTTCCATCATTTTTTAAATCTGCCAAAAAACTATCGAAGATTAACTGACTACTATTAGACGGCTTTGGTACAATAGAACACATTTCAAGATCATCTTAGTATTGTTTTCCAGCGCTACTTCTTTATCATTCTTCCAGAAGTTATTCAACCATAATCGCCCCTGTTTCCTATTTTGAAGCAGTTGTTTACGTTCCTTGAGAATTTATCTTAGAATATAAGGAACTCCTCATTTCTAGCTTGATACGAATTGTAACCAAGTCAAAAGCTTTCAGTTCTACTTACTTTTCGGTTTTTGTGTTCTTTATTTGTATCCTAAAGATTCTAAAGATTTTTTTCGCTACAATTATTAACAAATTTAGGACTATAGGAGTCAAATATGATTCATGGATAAGCGAAAATAATTTAGCTTTTCAAATTTAGGCGGAATATATGTCCTTAATGATGCTGAGATGTTTGCAAAACTCCGGACCGCAGGTGTCTGCGGTGGGGTACGAACGTGCTATTTTCCTTTCCGGGGAGTAACGCGTTCACCCCGACACCATGCAAGTCCTTCGCTTCGTCTGTCTCTCAGCTAGTTCTATCGATTATATTTCACGATGTGTATCCTGCCGTTAAGAAGAGTACGCAGTAAATAATAAGTTAAAATTGTGATTATAACTGCATCCTCAGCTTAACTAGGTTCCTTACCGATTTGGGCTCCCCAGATCAATCCCGCTGACGTGTGATTGTTGATGGAAAAAGATCGATAGAGCTAGCTGAGAGACAGGCGAAACGAAGGACCCGCATAGTGTGGTGGTGAACGCGTTACTCCCTGGAAGGCACAATAGCGCGTTCGTTCTCCACCGCAGACACCGGTTCGGAGTTTTGCAGATATCTCAGCATCGTTAAAGTTATATTTCGCAATATACTCTTCCCTTAAATAGAGTAGGCAGTGAATAGTAAGTTAAAACTGGATTTTATGTCTACTGCCATGAGCACAATAGTAATAACTGAGATCAAAAATCTCTAGCGTCTACACATCTTTTACAATAAAGGGAAATTTTTTATTCCACTTTGATGTGGTGCTAACCTTTTCTAGCTCAATTTTCTTTCCTTACGTTTTCTACCATCCGTGATCTTTATCTCCAATGGCAAAATGGTAGAACAAACGGGATCGTATTCAGTAAACTTTCTTCGGTCAAGGAATACGAAGAGTATCACAATTCTATGGTGTCCCTTTCGTCGCCGGACTATCGCGTTGCATAGGTTCAGTCTTTGGCGCAATTCCGGATATCGAAATTAGTCCGTTTGAATGGAGACCTCCTCTTCATGTTGTAGTTCGACAACCAACGTCACACCTTAGTGATGGTAGGAGGTAGTCGTGAACACGCTTCCTAGACATCGCCTGTATCACATGTAGTCCCGTTGATCGTCGAGTGGCTCGAGCGGGCGTCAGTAAATCTTCCATTTTTCCCTGTCGCGTGCAAGAGTAGCCCAGTAGGTTTCGCTGGCTCTAGGGAGCTCGTCGAGCATCATATCTTTCTTCAAGGATCATTGTGAAAAACTCTGACCATCGGGTCGGTGGTCTTCCTGCAGTACGTTTGACATCCCGAGGAATCCAGTTACTAACGGCTCTTGTACATCGGTTGTCGTTCATACGCATTAAGTGTCCGGCCCATCTTATCTTCGACTGCTTGGTTTACAGAACACGATCTTTTATTTTTGATCGTTGATGCAGGTCGGAGCTTTGGATCCCTTCCCTTACTTGTGTGAAACGGGATACTCCTAGCATCGTCCTTTCGACTCCGCGTTTAATAACGCTGAGTGATCTTTCATCCTGCTTACGCAACGACCAGGTTTCTGACGCATACGTTAGGGCAGGAAGTACCATCGAGTCGAAATGGTGGGCGCGGAGTCGGGTGTTCTTTGTCGTCTTCACTACATTCTCAATGTTCTTGAAAGCTTCCCCAGTCGCTCGTTTCCTTCTGCTCAACTCTGTGGAGCTAAGTCGTTCATCATATTGATTTCCCGACCAAGATAGACATAACTGGAGCATTCGGAGATATTTGTTCGGTTGAGCGTGAATGGGGCATACGAAACCAATCCGTTCTTCATGAACATTGAAGGGGTGGCGCCTTCTCGTCTTAGGCAGGCCGATGACGTCGTACCTTATCCTTCTTGCTTGCATGAGTAAGTCTTCTATCGAGGACTCGGATGTAAGTGTACCCGCATTGTAGGTACAGATCGTCACCTTAGTTATTCGTGATCCAGGAAGCTTCCATTGGCCCTTAGATTTTAGCAGCCTTTCAGTACTCGTCCTACTCATCGCTACTAAATTGGAGGCTCTTTCGGGGTCAGGGGAATGAGGTCCGTTTTTTTAACTGTTTAGCATTTTGATACCCACTTGTAGCTCGCTGAGCTTTGAGTGTAGGAGCTGGTTATATTCACGGGTAGCTGACCAATCTTTGCCGGAATTGACGGGAATCTCATTTGTTGGAGGCGACTCCTAACCGCCTCCCATATACTTCCCTGTCACTTGGTTGCAGACTTTTGGGCGAATTGACTCGTAGAATACAATCCCCATAAGCAAGAACGCATCCACACACGCATGCATGAATACGTCTAGCAAATACAGAAAGTACGTGCTAAATCAGCGCGGCAGAAACAAGGATTCCATCTCCTGGATCCAGCTGCGTTTCAGGTAAGCAAAGGTCGCTTTTGGTCCACGATTAACTCCCTATGCACTACTTGGGGCGCGCCACGCAGCCTCGCGACTAACCGGCTATTGGAATCCCTCATATGAGGGAGATCCATAGTGACTGTGATTTCCTAGAGATCAACAGGAAAATTGTCAACGAGTAAATAAATGGGATGAGGCTCTCGCCATAACGATGCTGAAATATTCGCCAAACTTGGACCACTGGCCAGATCGAACCACGTTATCCTTTCCGAGGGTTCGCGTATTACACACTGCGCTACGTAGGCCCTTGTTTTGCGTTTCTCCCAGTCTACCTAACGCTGCTATCGGCAATCACTCGTCAGCGGGATTGATCTAGGGAGCACAAATCGCCATTAAACCCAGTTAAAACGCAGCCGAGCTAAGGTGGTAGCCGAAGTCATAATGTTAACCTTTTATTTGCTGCGTCCTATAATTTTTCACAGTGGCGTATGATGTAAAATACGTGAAAAATTATAGTAGGCAGCAAATAAAAGGTTAACAAAGCTCTCACCGTTGATCAATCCTCGATGGACGTGCCGTGTGTTCGTTTTCAACAAGCATCGTTAGAGCTGATTGAATGCATATATGCCCTATAAAATGATTTGCGGTGGCCTACCGATGTATCGAATCAGTGCTGCTATTCTCTCAGATAGGTCTGCTACCAATTTGCCGACCCCGGACTCCAGAGGGATGGAAAGCTTGGTGAGCCTGGGGCGCTGGATCGATCCCATGTCTATTGTAGAATGCCTTCAATCATCGCGCTACACGCACCCAACGAGTAGATAGAAAATGAAAATAAACTCAGCGCATTGGACTAGGAGTCCATTAAACACTTTTAGTTATAGAACATGAAAAATTCTCCAAATACATAGTGCTTTTGAAAGTAGTTTGGGTGCCAGCGCAAGGTTTTATAGTTATGTACCTAACTCGTATGGTGTCCAATCAATAACTGGCATATTTATTCAATACATAATTTAATAGATTAAGAAAGAAAGGAAGTAATAAAAAAATTACTGTCAAATCTTCTGTGAACATTTATTTTACATATGATTGAATTACTAGTATTATTACTGTATCCCAAGTTGGAAATTTATTTAAGCGATTTTTTCATCGATTTAAGAAAGTCTACTGTTAGTAGTGATTTAGGAATCAAAAACCGTATTTGCCATTCGAAAAGGACTCAGATATGGACTGTAGACGAAATTTTTCTCAAGAGAACCCTATACGATGCTTTCTGGCGGGCGATCTCAGAGCTAACGAACAGGTGACTGAATCTCTTCTTTTTTATGATCTGGAAACTGCCATAACTAGGAGGAACTGTGACAGCGGACTGAGTTTCAGTGCTCAATATCATGTTTCACTGATATTTAGCATAAGGTTGTTATCAAAACTTATTGGGCCAACTTTTTGTGGTCTTCGCTTTTTTCATAGACAGAGAGATTTCGAGACAATAATTTTTAGTTCATCGCAGAGTTATGAGTTAATATGAACATATTTCACCTCCCAACGATTTACCACCTTATCGTGGCTATGAGGCGTCCCTCGGTGTTGAGCTGTGAGGTACAGTGGGAAATTCATCCCCACGGCAGGATCTCCCAATCCGAGAAGGAGTCCAGCGTTTCCATCAAGAAGCCTAGCTAAGAGCAAACCAGTACCACGATTCACCACCGTCCTGGTATCGAAGTCGCATGGTAGTAAATCTCCCTCTGATCAACAAAGGCTGCGACTGCCTGTGGTGGTGAAGACCTGGAGCAGACTTTGGCCAGGCTAACCTCGGGATTCCAAAGAACCACAATGGCTTTTCCAGCAATTCTCCGAAAAATAGATATTATGCTGGGGCCCGCACAAGCAGTGAGGACGGGCCGTTCAAGTATCAAGTAAGGAAGTATTGCATTTTTCATTTATTTTCTATGGACGAACATCACATTTGGTGTTGACCTCAGTATTTCTTTAATTCGTTTCGTTTCCTTGCTTTCATCAATCACAAAGGTCCTCGAAATTCCGCGCACATTTGGCTTTTGATTGAGGATTTTCATGTTCTCTACGAATTTCGTTCAGTGCTGGTCAAATCAATTACTCATGGAATCATGGGATATCCGTGCTAGGGGGTTCCCAGGTGCTAATCACTGGCCGTCGCCATGTTTTTGTGAATTGCAGGGAGCGAGTTGGCTCCAGTTAGGTCTAGTACCAACTTCCCTACCTCGTACATATGTGAGGCATGGTTGAACCGGGGAGAGGTAGAACCATGCTATCATTTTTATTGTACAACTTGGGATAATGCCGTCGGCCACATGGAATTTGAGCTTTTGACGTGGATATTTTCCAGAACTAAGTAGTTTAATACATACGGTACCATGAATAATGTATAAACTCCCACGACCGACCTTCTATTAACCTCGGCATGGATCAAGTAATTCTTCGTATTTTTGTTGAGCAAACACGAGGTGTTATTATTCTTTATTCACGAGCAAGCTGACGTTTCGGCGGATTTCGCCTTCCTCAGAGCCTGGAAAGGTCAAGTTGATAGCAATCTACTCGGCCAGACGCCTCCATAACCAAACAAAGGAACTCTAAACCAAGATTTCAATCACATTGAACACAGCTTTGCACACTCACCGCTTTCTATGAGGTTTCCACTAAGTATGCCACGTAGAGACCAACCGCACAGAAATCACATGGAAGCATAATGTGCCCCTCCCATCAGAATAGCAGTCTTATATACTGCCCTATATCACGCGTGATAATGAGGCATTCTTTCCTGCGGTTCATTTTTGAATTTCTGGAATTAATCCAGAATGTCTCGAGAGTTTTTCGCGCCTGTGTTCTTGATTCGCGTGCGAGGATCGTGACACATACTTCAAAGTCCTCCCCGTTATGTCTCTGGGTCCTATGCGTGCCTAGCGGGGTATTTGGTCTGTTCCGGTCTATCTGTTTGCCGGCTAGGTGTTTTTTATGCGGACACAGAGGAGTCTGCCCGTTTCGCCAATGTATTTGTCTCCGCACGCCTTACAGGAGATCAGATAAACTATACCCGAGCTCATGCAATCACCGTCTCTACCACTGGGGCAAATTATGTAATTTTGAGTTGCACATAGACGGTCATATAGGCGGTTACGAACTAGCTGGCGCTTAAGATTACTCGGTGGTATTTCAACTACGCTTACCGAATTCTCTAAGCCCGCCCTTCTTAAGCAGCGTTTTATAGCTGTATTTATATCATTTGAGATGAAGGGTAGGATAAATGGGATCCTTCTATCGCTAGAGTTGTCGTTTGGAGGCCTACGATTTCCTCTACACCTATCCTGAGCTACAGTTTCGTAGCCGTGCCAAGTTCCGGGGCTCCTCTCTCTGCTCTCCTCCCGTGCACACGTTGGTTGCTGTTCGAAACATGTTTCTTATAAGCGCCCTTTTCGCGAAAAGATACAGCTCAAACCCCACTCCAGTGCAAAAACGTGGTATGCGAGAGGTACGAGAGCTGATAAGGTTGAAAACCATAAAACTATCCGTTAGTGATAAGGGCGGAGAGTTTGTCGTAATTCCTCATCAGTTAGATGTGGAGATAACGAAAAAGCATCTTGAAGATGCTTCGCTTTATCGTCCATCATCTGAGAAGGAATTTAAAAGTAAATACCGAAAACTAAACCACGAATGGGCCAAAATGGCAAGGGCTGCTGGTTTGAAACCATCAGTTATCTCTCAACTTAAAATTGCCTTACCAACATGCCCCGTCTTGTACTTACTTACAAAAACTCATAAGTTAGTATCCAGCGATGATCTTGCGTCTACCGATCCATCACTATTTAAGGTTAGACCTATCACTAGCTGCGTNTCCGTTAGTGATAAGGGTGGAGAGTTTGTCGTAATTCCTCATCAGTTAGATGTGGAGATAACGAAAAAGCATCTTGAAGATGCTTCGCTTTATCGTCCATCATCTGAGAAGGAATTTAAAAGTAAATACCGAAAACTAAACCACGAATGGGCCAAAATGGCAAGGGCTGCTGGTTTGAAACCATCAGTTATCTCTCAACTTAAAATTGCCTTACCAACATGCCCCGTCTTGTACTTACTTACAAAAACTCATAAGTTAGTATCCAGCGATGATCTTGCGTCTACCGATCCATCACTATTTAAGGTTAGACCTATCACTAGCTGCGTAGACGGGCCAACGGACAGGCTAACATGGTTTTAACCCTAATATTTAACCAGTTGTTGAAACACATTCCAGCCCATTTTACGAATACCCAGATGTTTCTGGATCGTCTACGTACTGCGCAGCCCAACAGCGCGTGCGTGATGGAGTCCTTCGACGTTACCGCCCTTTATACAAACGTGTCGAATGACTCCGCAATGCAAGCCATATTCGAACTCGTTAAACAACACGAAGGAGAAATAAACATGTATGGCTTCAAGATAGAGCACCTGATGGCACTCTTAAAAGAATTCTTGAGCTGCTCAATCTTCAGATGGTCCGGAAAGTTCTACGCTCAAATAAGAGGGTTGGCAATGGGACAACGACTGGCTCTAAGCCTTGCCATTGCATTTATGTCTAAGGTGGAAGCACCGGTGACTGATCTCGGGCCGCTACTCTACTGTAGGTATGTAGACGACTGCTTTGTCCTTTGCTCAACACAAGAGGAAATGGACAAATCTTTCGAATTGTTAAACGCATAGTCACAGTATATCAAGTTCACCCGAGAAAAGCCGAAAGAAAAACGGCTTCCATTTTTGAACGTATGAATTCACCTATCAGAAAATGACTACATTGCGAAGTGGTACCGAAAGCCAAGTAGTAAAAACATCTTGGCTCATTACCTCTCCTCTCACCCCTCTCACACGAAAAGGGCGCTTATAAGAAACATGTTTCGAACAGCAACCAACGTGTGCACGGGAAGAGAGCAGAGAGAGGAGCCCCGGAACTTGGCACGGCAAATAGCCATTTCTAATGGCTACGAAACTGTAGCTCAGGATAGGTGTAGAGGAAATCGTAGGCCTCCAAACGACAACTCTAGCGATAGAAGGATCCCATTTATCCTACCCTTCATCTCAAATGATATAAATACAGCTATAAAACGCTGCTTAAGAAGGGCGGGCTTAGAGAATTCGGTAAGCGTAGTTGAAATACCACCGAGTAATCTTAAGCGCCAGCTAGTTCGTAACCGCCTATATGACCGTCTATGTGCAACTCAAAATTACATAATTTGCCCCAGTGGTAGAGACGGTGATTGCATGAGCTCGGGTATAGTTTATCTGATCTCCTGTAAGGCGTGCGGAGACAAATACATTGGCGAAACGGGCAGACTCCTCTGTGTCCGCATAAAAAACACCTAGCCGGCAAACAGATAGACCGGAACAGACCAAATACCCCGCTAGGCACGCATAGGACCCAGAGACATAACGGGGAGGACTTTGAAGTATGTGTCACGATCCTCGCACGCGAATCAAGAACACAGGCGCGAAAAACTCTCGAGACATTCTGGATTATTTCCAGAAATTCAAAAATGAACCGCAGGGAAGAATGCCTCATTATCACGCGTGATATAGGGCAGTATATAAGACTGCTATTCTGATGGGAGGGGCACATTATGCTTCCATGTGATTTCTGTGCGGTTGGTCTCTACGTGGCATACTTAGTGGAAACCTCATAGAAAGCGGTGAGTGTGCAAAGCTGTGTTCAATGTGATTGAAATCTTGGTTTAGAGTTCCTTTGTTTGGTTATGGAGGCGTCTGGCCGAGTAGATTGCTATCAACTTGACCTTTCCAGGCTCTGAGGAAGGCGAAATCCGCCGAAACGTCAGCTTGCTCGTGAATAAAGAATAATAACACCTCGTGTTTGCTCAACAAAAATACGAAGAATGTATAAACTGCTTGTACAAATGTAGTTTTCCAGAACAATGAGGTTGAAAGCATAAACGGTTGAAAATAGTATTTTCAGCTTGGATTAACAGCTTTGCACACCATCTTTCTCCGTGAACATAACCGAATAGCAGCTCATTTGCTCGAGATGAATGTGAATTGGGACGGAGAGACGATTTTCCAGGGTTTGTCTGGAACATTCTACTGCTAAAAGACTATTGATATCCACATCAAAATGATCAATCAATCGTAAATGTAGCGATAAAAATCAATACTGATGCTAATGCACAATAATTCAATTCAGAAGCAAGAAAAATTGTTGGAGCAATCATACAGCACATCACCTACTCCGAATGGCTTCCGACCATTCTTGGAAAGGTAAGACGTACATCTAATGGGCTCTATCAATCACTTAGGTTTTTTTTAACACCATTATCTCACTAATACTTCTAGTATAGGAGACCATTATTGGATTAGAACGTGTGCCATAGTTTTAAACGTGCACCTCGTCAAGAAGGTTTAGCCAGAATTCTTCCTCTTTTGCTGTTTCTTTTACAGTTTCACACCAACTTTTCACTAAGGGAACCTAAGGACTTCAGATCGGCTACAATGAAATGATTGGCGATTACGGTGGATACGACCCGCATACGAATCCGTCGATATCAAATGCATTTGCCACGGCTGCATTCAGGTCTTTCTTGCAACTTCTTTGATTCAAATTTTAACAGTACTTAATTTAGAACTACAAGTAACATGAAAATAACCTCATGAGCCTACAGAGACGTGTAGATCATCCTCTGTTCTCGAAAAACCGAAGTCTTCGGTAAAATATGCCTCGATCGCCTTAATTTTTTGAGCATTTCCTCTTAGTCACAATTTTATTATTTATTGCCTACTAATTTTAATGGCAGGGTATATTGCGAAATATAACTTCAATGATACTGAGATATTTGCAAAACTCCCGCTGAAAGGTGACTGCTGATGGCACTCTGAGCGATAGAGCTAGCAGAGAGACAGGCGAAACGAATTACCCGCATGGTGTGGTGGTGAACACGTTAGCCCCCAGAAAGGGTAAGAGCGCGTTCGCTCCCCACCGCAGACATCTGGTGCCGGAGTTTTACAAATATCTCAGCATCATTGAAGTTATATTTCCTTTTAAGCTATTTACACCTAATATTTTCACTCAGTTTAGAGAATTTTTAATGCAACAGTGTAAGAATGAGGTAGACAACATGACTGGAATCTAATAAGAAAATCAACAACATGTTCTACGGCATATAGTGTTAAATGGCGCTTGGAAGAAGAGGATCTGCCTCTCTCTCTCTCCTGAGATATTCTTCGTTGTAAATTAGAAAACACTGCGAAAAAATGAGTAGAGAAGAGAAAAGTAAATTTGTAAGAAAATGCATTCTAATGCTGTCTAACACGACAAAATTAGAAGCGAAAGTCTGAAAAAGAGAAGAACATGCACGACTGTTCATGTAAGTACTGTTTTGCTTTCCAGATTCGGTCATACACTTATCAATCCGACGTTGTTTCGCCTCGACAACGATTTTCGGATGGTAAAGGATGGTCATATTCCGCTTCATGAAGTGCGTCAGATTCTTACTTGCTGTCTCAACACTTTTTGAACAAATTCGTCAATTAATGCTATCTAATGGCATGTATAGCGCAACGGTTAGAGGTGACCTGTAACACACACATCGTTGTTGTTTCAACATTGCACCTCGACAAGACCAAACTTTCCATCCTTCCAGTGGACCGGCAAAAGGACACCATTAGTTGTTGCTTAGGAAAGTTAGTATGCACCTAATCATTTTTGTAATGCTGCGAATTGAATAGAATGCATAATGCAGGATTGGATGATAGCACTGAAATGACAAGATGCACTCGTCAGGGATTGATGGACGCCGAAACACCTCCTCTACGCTTTATCTTTGCCCTACATCAATAATGTTGTTTCATTTACTTTGGTTTTGAATGTGATCTCCTAATTCAATTTTTGATGTTTTATAGGCCTTCTTCGCACCTGAACGACTACTCTCTGAAGGTGGCATTGATCCACTGATTCGTGGACTTTTTGCTTCTTCACTAAAATTACCAAAACCCGATCAACTTCTCAATATGGAACTCACAGAGAAACTGTTTCATCGTTTTCATGAGGTAGGCGACATCACACTCTTTCGCACTTATTGCTTATTGAAAGAATTGGTTTAAAAGGTCAATTGATGAAAAACGGAATGCTGTAATGTTGAATACCCGCATACGGCTTTCTCAAGCTCCGCGGAAAGAATGCGTATCCCACCAGTAAGGTGCCTACTGAATGGGAATTGTTCTAGGGATCACCCAACTCGTGATGGCGAGGGGCGCGCATGTAATTCTTGAGAATTGAACAAAAAAACGGGATGCTCTCATTCGATAGATCGGTGTCATCGACCAATATGGCATTCTCCAAGTTATTACTTTTCAGCGTAACTCTGAAAAATGAGGTATAGATTATTAATTGTTCGTCGTTTATCAACCTCTGAGGAATGTGCCAAGTATTAGATCCATAAGGCATCGTAAGGTGACTGAAAATGATTGAAAGCGTTTTTATGCCCCCAGAAGAGACTAGTACCAATTTGCTGGCATCAGGTGGATGGAAAGCGTGATATTCCCTAGGTGTGAGGTCGTACCAGTGATTATATGTGAACGGCAGATTACCTCTAACCACTGCTCTCTACGCGCCCTTCTAGATGACCGAGTTAATATTAATGTTCGTTAAAGAAATTTCGGAGTTTCAGGTGGCTCTCGATCTTGCTGTAATGAACATTCAACGAGGAAGGGACCACGGCTTGCCAGGGTAATTTGCCGATTCTTTCTCTTTTCCTTCTTTTCTTTCGCTCAAATATCCTTTCTAGAGGATTTATCGAAGGTAAACCATGGTGAAGTGTCAGATTTTATAAAGATTTTTAGGGAGCCTTTTACCTTTCGGCTGATATAACCTTTTTCTTTGAGAACTTTATATTATAATTATATTTTATGAAAATGAATTACATCCGTATTTTAGTTACACCGAATATCGTCGGTTCTGTAATTTATCGGTGCCGGCAACATGGGATGAATTGGGCACTGATATTCCTGATGCGACAGTTCGTTCGAAGCTCAAAGGACTTTACGGCGACCCAAGTGTGACAACAGTTTGATAAACGAACTATTTTGACAATCTCACAAAATAGCTTACCTTGTCAATTATGGAAAACTCGGAATACAATTGGTAGTAGCAATTGGCGAAACATATGAGTAGCAATTTTATTAGCAGAATGTAAGAGAATTTCTTCGCATTTTATTCATAGGATACAAAACGGAAAACTTTTTATTTTTGAGGTTTGCAGATTCATTTCAATGCTTCATAACACTAAGAAATGTTTTTTTTTTCATAAACTAAAACTTCGATAAGGGAACGGGAAACCCAGTGGTTAGAAATGAAATACACGCATGGTCGTAGCAAACCTGCTTGAAAAGAATTCGTACGTCCATAAAAACTAGCAAATGGCTGTAGCAGTGACCTAATAACGCTCAAGTAGAGCTATCTCGGAGTATCAGAGAAGATCAACTCTAACGTCACTCAACTGCACTCATTAGAAATATAATGTCTACAAATGTTAGCCGAACCTGCGCATAAATCCGAAGACCGCAGAATACGGATACGGGGAAATGAAGGAAATTGGAGAGGTGCTGAGATATATAATATATATGGAGTCGAGTCGTATAGATCATCTAATGCAATGAAGTGGTGAACGACCACAGAGGTGCACTTGTGGGCTGTTTCATAGCAGCAAACCTTCTTTTGATTTACAATAACCGACGACGGCCTGTAATAAAGACCTGGGGACGGTTTTGCACTGTAATCCCGGATTCCAGAGGAGAGAACTCAATCATAATTTACAGTCCTAGTAAGAAGACAACGAGTCTATTTCGCATCCAAAATGAAATGCAAAACCGATATAGGGTCCGGATGACGCTTACAAGAGAGTGGAATGAATGAAAAAGTTCCAGAGGTTTTCATCGTGTGTGGAATATGTATCACCTAAGCATCTAGGTCGCTAAAGAAAAACTTGGTATGGATACGGAACAGCAGCTCGAACTTTCTTCATCCAATTGCTCAGTGCTTGCACAGATAAAGAAAAAAGAAAGAAGATTTCTTGCTTGGAGTACATATTGGGTTTTTGGGACTTTTTGAAAATATGTGACTGGTGTTGTAATGGTATAAAGTGGGAATTAACAACTTTAGAGGCATCCAACCACAAGAAGATTTCACTGTGAAATGCCAAGTTTTTTGTTTGTTTCTAATCGCATATGTCTTCAGGAAATATTGACTTATGGGTCGGTGGAATAGTTGAGCAAAGGCTACCGGACGCATTGATGGGACCAACGTTTGCTTGTATTATTGGAGACCAGTTTAGAAGGCTCCGTGATGGCGATCGGTTCTGGTACTTGAGCTTTAACCTTAATGAACACTGGACATAAAATTTTTATCATTATTACCATTAATCTTACGGTCAGTACCACCACTATTATTAGCGTTATCAGGTTGCAATTACGTAACTAAATAAACCCAATGTATTAGTCTCCCATAGTCTTTGGACATGGTAACCACCTGCGTAAAATGTTATTATTGAGCTTATCGCAGTGCCTTAACAAATCACAGCCGTTATGTATCGATTTCGGCGGATCCCTTTGGAAATAATTGAGCAATTCAACTCCTAACAAATAATGTATTACATTTTCATTTGCTATCTATTCTTTTTTTAACGGCAGGGTATTACATGAAATATAACCATGATGATGCTGAGATATTTGCAAAACTCCGAAACGCTGGTGTCTGCTCTACGGAGCGAACGCGCTATTACCCTTTTGGGGGGCTAACGCGTTCACCACCGCGTCACGCGTGTCCTTCGTTTCGCCTATCTCTCAGCTACTTCTATCGAGTAGTACCATCAGCAATCACCCGTCAATGGGATTGATCTGGATCACCACACCATGCGGGCCTTTCGTTTAGTCTCTCAGCCGTTTTATTGACTTATGGGTGGTGTTAGCAACCACCCGTCAACGGGATTGATCTGGTGGCACACATCGGCATTTAATGCTGAAGTACGGATGTATTTAAACACAATTTCGCAAATAGCGAACATTATTGAACAAAGTAGACCCACTAAAGTGTACCAGTTGTTGCAGTCATGATATAGGTTGCCCAGTTATGAAATGTTAGATTCTGATTTTAGTTGCTAGTACAATTTTTTGTTTCTTGTGGCGCAGTAATTGGAGGTGTCACTCCGACACACACGTGGAATCGATCCCCGCACCCATAGCCCACCAATCCTTCCATCCCTCCGGGGTCGGCAAATCGGTACCAGATCTGTCTAGGAGCAGAGCAGCACTGGCTTGATGCATCGGCTGGCCACCGCGAGTCATTGTAAAGGCCAGATGTACATTCAATCACCTCCAACGATGCTTAATGAAGTCGAATGCATGGCGCATCCCTCAGGGATTGATCAACGCCGAGAGCTTTACCCTTTATCCTTTTGATACGGTTTATTCCTACTTTTTCTGTCAGAACAAGTAATTAGTGCTGCAAAAATGATTTTGCAAGTTGTTTTTGTCGAAAAGTTTTAAAAATGTAAATTTTGTTTGCGATTTTTCTCCCACTTTATTGCGAAAACGATTTTGAATGAAAGAAGTTTTAAATAAACGCATACCATTAGAGTAACGGATAAATCCCTTATCTATAAATCTCCCAAGTTGTCAACTCGACAACGCTTCTCCTCTTCGGAAAATCTTCGCCAGTTTTCGAAAAACCAGCATCGAGATGTATCTATTAAGTGCTAAATGAATTTTTACAATGTTGTTTTTGTACTACTTTTCACTTTTTCAGAAATTTTGGACCTCATTTTCAAGTTTTCAATTATTTCCTGGTTTCAGGTACGAAAATGAAGGCGTCTTCACAAAATTGCAACTTCAACAAATCAAGAAAGTCTCATTGGCTCGACTATTTTGCGATAATGGAGACAACATCGATCGTGTACAAGTCAGAGTAACTCGTCCAACTTTTCGTCTTCACCATTTTCGTCAATATAGAGAAGACGATTTCAGCGTAATGTCTTCTTCTATCCGGGTAATTCGACTAAGCACTATGGAAAATGCGAAAATATCCCAGAGGTCAATTTGAATATGTGGATGAATTGTTGTGATTCGTCTTGTGCTGTTTCGACTACGCACAGGTCAGTTTCGCTATTGGTCCATGGCGTCGGTGGCTAACCAACCAATCAGCAAATAAGAAGTAGATTACCACCAGGCGGTATGCTCCATACTTCAGTATTCATATAAAGCGGATTTTTCTATGCATATGTTCTAAAAATAAGATCTTTGAAGACGGAAGTCTGCTGTATAGTAATAATAATAGCAATCCATATATAATGCTGAGATATTTACAAAACTCCGGGCCGCAGGTGTCTGCGGTTCGGATCGAACTGGTTATTACCCTTTCTTAATGTGTTCGCCACCACATTCTGCGGGCACATCGTTTCGCCATCCTTTCATAGTAATAATAGCATCCGTGACAATATATGATATTTACTATTCTCCTTCTCGTTCGTTTATCATTGTTATTAGTTTTCATTATTTATGTTTTGCTATTATATTGTTAAATGAAAAAAAGCTCACGGCGTTGATCAATCCCTGAGGGATACGCCATCCACTCGACTTCACTAAACATCGTTGGAGGTGACTGAATGCACATCCAGTCTTTACAATTACTCATAGTAGCCTATCGATGTATCAAGCCAGTGGTGCTATCCTCCCACACAGGTCTGGTACCAATTCGCCGACCCAGGAGGAGTGGAAGGCTAGATGACCCATGGGCGCAGGGACCGATTCCATGTGTGTCTTGCAGAGTGCATCCGACCACTGCCCTATTATTATATATTGCTATTGTTCCTATAATTGCTATGTTGACTTTACTATACTCTTCATCTTCTCTTCTGCATACGCTAGAGCTGCTAATTACGGTTACTTAATACTTAAACGGTCCGTCCTCACTAGTTGTGCGGACCCCAGAATAATCACTATTTTTTGGAGATTTGTTGGTTAAGCCATTGTGGTTTCCTGGAATACCGAGGACAGCCTGGCCGAAGTCTGCCCCAGTTCGTCATCACGACAGGCAGTCTCAGCCCTTGTGGATCAGAGAGAGATTTACCACCATGCAACTTTGATACCAGGAAGGTGGTCGATCCTGGTATTGGTTTATTCTTAGCTAGGCATCCTGATGGAAACACCGGACTCTTCCTCAGCTTGGGAGACACTGCCGGGTGGATGAATCCCTCCGTTGTTCATCGCAGTCCGACACCCAGGAACACCTCCCAGCCACGATGAGGCGGTAAAGCGTTGGGAGAGATTCGCCATGTGATACCTAATAATGACACCGAGTGCTTCAAGATGGATTGTTCGTTTAAAAATAAGTTTTTACTTTAAACAAAGTTTTTACTTTTTTTAAAACAACTTTTTACTTTCTCGATTACTTTTGCGACGCCATGAATGAAACCAAATGCATGCAAAAAAAAATCTCTCCAGTCGAGAACTCAATCGACCATTGACTCGGATTATTGGAAGCTTCTTCATTAGCACCATGTAAACTTATCAGTGAAAAGATACATATAAAGTCACTGTTTTTCGTACTCTATGACAACTTCGATATCAGTTTGCCAATTCGGTTTAGTCGAGGGGCTTGGTTCGCTCATGGTGCAGTATCGAACTAACGACCACGTGAGTATCGCAATGCACCTCTACGCGTACGCCACTGCACTAAACGCATCTTATCCTATCAACCATATCACTAGAAGTTCCCTAACCATTCATTGACTTAAGAGGGTGCAGCGATAATAGGTATAGTCGCTGGCTTTCCTTGTACTTGGAGTTGAGGTAGAGGGGATACCGAATCACCATCTCCTTTTTACTTAATTCCCTTTCACTTGGCGTAGGGGTTTTAGCCGAATAGACGGACAATATACAGCGCGTGCAAGATCGAATGCATGGCCTTTATCCACTTGCATTTCACCGCAAGTGCATGGACTGTTTATTCGGCGCTTATCACCTGTGGAAGTTTCTATTTTTCAACCGAGGTTTTGCATAGTCGACGACAAGTGCGGCACTCAGGCGAAAACTTATGCTTAAAATCCATGCTACTTTATCTTAACATATCCTTTAAACTCAGTGATTTAGTTGTTTTGACAGTGACATTTTTCATGTCATTCTACAATTTTTCAGTAGAAGACGTCGTGGTCATTATCACTGCGAAGTAAATGGGCATCGACGACGAGATGGCGAACATTGGGATAGTACTGAGGAAAAGTGCACCACCTGCAAGTGTGAGGTAGGTTCAAATCAAATTTCCATAATGAGAGATTCACCGGAGATTTGTGTTTTTCTACGTCTTCGCCACAAAAGGGGGCAGTCTTTTTGCGAAACCTTGGCCACGGTTATTTTTGTGTTAAATACTGCGTTACTAAACGTTTTTACCTCTATCGTCTCGTATTTAGATCTAGTCTTTGATTCATAAGAAGAGTGAGAATCTGATTTTTTTTCCATATTTTAAATCGTAGATCTATGAAATCTTCATAGTTAATCCATTCCATTTATTTCGGTAAATTTTGGTAGTCGGTTGCTTTAGGGTAGAGGTTAAAACGGAGAAAAGTATGTAAATCGTAAGTCACGTTATCAAATTCATCGTGTTAACCCAAGGAACTCCTAAAAAATCGTCGACTTCATTTCAATAAACAGATGGGAATAGGTGGAAAGTATTTCGTAGGTTTTCCATTTGATGTTCGTTATCCGTTTCAGATTTAATGCTGTTGTAGTTTTCTTGCTATGTGGACAGTTTCTCATCCAAATTTTTTGAAAAATCGTCATTCATATGCGGTAAAGCATAGAGGATAAAGCTCTTGGCGTTCATCAATCCCTGAGGGATGCGCCATGCATTCGACTTCATTAGGCATCGTTTGTAGGTGACTGGATGCATATCTGGTCTTTGTAAATCTGGACTCGCGGTGGCCTACCGATGTGTCGAGACAGTGCTGCCATCCTCCCAGAGAAGCCTGGTACCAATTTACCGACCCCGGAGGGGTGGAAGGCTTGGTGAGCCACCGGGGCAGGGATCGATCCCATGCGTGTGTTGCAAGGTGTCTCCGACCACCGCGCCACACGCGCCACGTCATGTACGATAACATAACTAACTTTGAGAAAACAGTAAAAAAAATGATTTTTTCGTTTGCAATTTGAACGAGCGGATAATGAGTGCTGTACAAGATTCCCTTTTAAGCATAGAAGTATTGACGAAGGTCGGTGGAAAAACACAGTTGTAATGTATGACATCTTTAATAGAAATTTTATTTACAGCACGGTGCGGTGTGGTGTTCGGTCAAGGACAACTGCCATTAATTAAAGCTCTACGGTCTTTGTAAATTACTACATCTACTGCGTGTGAACTTTTTCTTTCTTCATTTCATTTCTGCTTCTTCTCCGTGTGCAAATGTGTGTGTGCTTGTTTGTGTGTATACGTGTGTACGTGTATGTGTATGCGTGTATGCGTCTGTGCTTGTGTGTGTATACCCTGACTTTCTCTGATCTTCGGCATGCTGGTTTTGCTTACGTCAACAAATTTACATTAATATGTATAATTTAATAGTTGTATTGTACAATATTGAAGCTATTTGACTTCATGAAGTTTGGAAAGAGAAGCAGTGACAGTCGAATGAACAAGAAGAGCAATAGAAAAACATCTGTGCACTTAGCCATTTTTTACTAGATGTGTATCATCAAAATTATGACTTAATGAAAGTGAACTTTGCATTGAGAAACATTCTGTCGTCGAATCGGTCATAACAATGACAACGATAGTGGCGACGTAGTGATAGTTTTCCAAATCAAAGGAGAGCACCCTCTTACAAAAGCTCACAGAGGTTAGGCTGTTGACGGTTTGAATTGAGCGCCGTTAGATCAGCTTTTATTTGAGAAGTTCTTTGTACTTCCTCAGCTCGTCCTGTGTTCGACTCCATGGCCTCATTGTGCACGTTCGAGTCTCAGCTGTCGTCTTAGTGTCAGTCACTGATGGTAGTTTACATGATGTTGAGAAGACCGAATACAAGCAGGCCCTGATGAATTTTAAATGTTGATTGAATGAACTCAAACAGATGGGATGGAAGGTAGCTGATGATGATCACTTACTGAAGCATGCAACTACCACAACTTATCTTGCAAGATACAATTTTACAGTATTGCGCTAACTAATTGGATCTTTGGTAGCACTTGAAGTAAAATGTGATTTTCCAGGTCGAAAAAAGGTAAGTTTGAAAAACTATACGTAAAAATTATGTAGCTGTATGGATCACTTCTTTAGCAACGATGGCTAGTGCTTACTTTCGTGCTTCGTCGCGAGGTTTGCACATCCTTCGACGAGAATCGCTACTTCGAGAACGAACAAAAGAACCGCGTATAGCTTCTGAAGGCATTATTCATTAGGTGCTTCGCCAATCATCGATGTTTGGTCTACGCATTTCGGACAATGCGTCCTGCTTAGCGGCAATTTCTAAGATTTTCAACATCACGAGTCCAACACTTTATAGTGAAACCTGGACTAGCAGCAAATTCTGCAATATCAGAGAGATGCCTTAGATTACGTTTAGCGCCTCACTTGCTTAGTTGGATATTTGGACGACCCATCCTCACTGATTGTGCAGCGCTCGTCACAATCTCCACTTTTTCGGAGTTTTGGTGACTTAGACATTGTGGTTCCCTGGGGTGTCGAGGTCAACCCGGCCAAAGTCTACTTCAGGTCTTCACCACCACAGGCAGTCGCAATCCTTGTGAATCAGAGGGAGATTTTCCAACATGAGACTAGTTTGATACCAGGACGGTGGTGGAACCCGGTATTCGTTTACTCTTAGGTGGGTTTCCTTACGGAAGCGTCGGACTCCTTCTCAGCTTTGGAGACTCCGTAGGGTTATGAGTCCCTCCCGCTTTACATCGAAATCCGGCGGTCAGAAACACCTCCAAGCCACGAGGAGGCGGTAAACCATTGGGAGGACACTTCACTTAACCAATACAATGGAACAGTTTTCTTTTGTCATATTTGATAGAAAATCAGTTACTGGATTGATCCGAAAACACACCATCAATGCTGCATTCAGTGATCCGCTCTCTTTTACTTGTGCCAATAGTGAGCGTACGACTTATGGGCGATTTTTCTTCGTGCACGAGCTTATTCGTCATCCTGAAACGAATACTTTAAGGGCTAACCTCTGAGAATTCCTGATAAACTCATTCATTAACGTCTTGGCGAAAACTAAATCTAAAGATCTAATGTTTTAAAACATTGTACATCAACAGAAAGATTTTACATGACCGTAGCGAAACAACCCCACAAGCGAAATCCCTATACCTCCTCAGATTCGTTTTATTGACTTTTTAAAATGGATTTTGCAAAGACACCGCTTTCGTTTGTGCAGGTTACAAAAACTGGTTTGCCCAGCACCTTCATAACTGTGCTAAAAATGTCAGTAACTCGAAAATCACCCAGCTATGTCCGTCTTAAGAAACTCTTTGATAACATGGATTACAGAAGCCACAGGCAACAGTTGACTAGCGTTCGAACTTGAAACACTTTTCAAAGAAATCATAGGTGAATATCTTTAAGAAAAAAACGAGGGTAATGTTGGCGAAAAGTACAGACGTTAGCGAAACCATCCTCAATATCAGTTACGACTCAGCCAAATATGTGATCAACATGTTTCCCTTCCGGCGCCTCACGTTCATTCAAAAGAAGAGTCAATCTTTCTTCTAGACGACCCGTCTTCGTATTCACTGCGCGGATCCTAGGACTACCATCCGATTTGCTTCCTCGAATCCTTCATCCACGCAGTCTCCGAACTTTCATGTGTGAGTTTGGCTGCTTGTAAAGTATTTTTGTCTTTTTTATAAAAGTTCTTGAGTCCTGGTCGCGTCCACTTTCCTTTGAGTCTTGACATAGCTAGACTAAAGCGTTCCCTGTTGCTTTGCAGAGATAAACTATTTCCAGACATATCTGGTACCAATTTCACGACCTTGGAGTGATGGTCTCATCACATTTGGTGAGCCCGTAGCCTGTTCGAACTAGTGTCGCGTAAACGGCACCATAATCACTGCAGTACTCAGCCTCTTTAAAAAATGAGTAGAGAAGGCGATCAGTGAAGTTTTTTCTGCTTTCTTAAGCAGCCATCCCCGTTCACCAACTAATTTCAATAAGAATTAGCATGTGTTTAACAGAGCTTTCTTCCAATGTTTTACGTTCATTCATGTTGATTCTAAGCTTCCCAATCACGGGAAAGCCATTGAAGCCGTTAAATACGAAGCCTATCGCGCGTGATAAAGGACAACTATCTCAAAATCTGTCGCTCTTTTAAGAGCTCCTTTCTCTAACCACTGTCAATGAAGCAGTGCACAAAGAATGACCATAAGAGTGACTAAGGTTTCTAAAGGGATTCATTTTGATGAATCATATCTAATTTAGAACAAAATTCATTAGTGCATCGTAAACACATAAGATACGACTCTCATCGTACACAGACGATATCGACACAAATGTTGCAGTGTTTAGTGATGCAGTTCACCAGTGAGCGCGGCTTTGGTTTGACCTTCTTCCCAATTCTTTCGGTCAGTCCACACAGAGAGCCACTGCTCCGGCTATCACAGGAATTCCAAGGAGAATCAACTCGAGCGGCATTCAGAAATGTCCATTACGAAAAGACAACCTTCAAGTTGCACCCTAACCCACACAGGAAAGGTTTGAGAACTTTCTAGACGACAGATACGAGGAAACGAATCTAATGTAAGAAGTACTGTTTTCGCACACTTGATGGGATGTCAGGCCTAGTAAAACAATAACGAATGAATAATTTCCTTCAATCTGCACGCGATTAATATCTCAGAATGTTCGAGCCATATTCATGCCTCGAGAAGTTAACATGATCAACAACTCAACTACAAAGCTGAGCACAATGAAACTAGCCTAGTGAGCTTACATAGATGCAGTGAAACGAAAAAAGAGCACTATGCTCCGTGCTCATTCGATTTTCATGTTGATTTTGCCTTAAGAGAAGACTCGAAAGCTGAACGCTGCCTAAGCAGAATAGAAGATTGCTATCGCCTAACAGTCAATCAACAGAATCCAATGTTCCGATGTATATCGATGAAAAAGCTCGGAAACTCTGTTTCATACGTCGAGATCAGCTCAACGAAACCAACTGATAGCGGATGTTACCAACAGGTTGTGGACAGGAACCGTTGGCGACTAGGTTTTACACAATGTAAAATTCACAAAAGGAAAAGTAGAGCAAAACGATCGAACTTGCTTAAGAAAGTCTTAGATGATAAATATGATTGTCATTCAAGCGAACAGAACGCATTGGAGAAGCTTGCAACTGACATAGAGGAATGGAAACTTCTTTGGATTCCACTTAGCTCACGAAATAACTAAGGATAGGGCCCTTAGTGTAGTTCAGGTTTCCGAAACTACTAGGGGTATCACATCAACAAAATTTCGTTACCTTGCTGGATTATTAAGCTAACAAGAGGTTGGCAAAATGGTTTATTCGGCTAACATTCCGACGCCTTCGTCTTCCTCAGAACCGATGAACCGAGTCGATGCTCCACAGTCGTTCGTGCTGCCGATGTGGTGCTTTTGTCGTCCTATCGAGTAGAATTTTGTGAGGAGGACGAAAACGTTGAAACATTAGCTGAATGAACCTTTTTATCGAACTCGCATTAGCTTGGAAATCCAGGGAAGGTATTGATTATTAATACTGAGGTTAATATTAGCTTTTGATATCCACCCAAATTAAAAAACTATTGTATGCAGCTTTTTCCAGAAAAACTCTACTTAACTTGGCTTTTAAACAGTTTCTTTTCTTCGTCAGAGTTTTGGAAATGTTCATCACTAATATTTTGCGTCATCCGGTTTTACTTTTTTAACATTACAGCGTGTGCCGCAGTAGTCGTATGCACCCTGCAACACACATGTGGAACCAATCCCTGCACACATGACCCACCAAGTCTTCCATCTCTGCGGGGTTGGCAAATTGGCACCAGACTTGCCTGAGAGGATAGCAGCACTGGTTCGATACATCGGCAGGCCACCACGAGTCATTGTAAAAGCCCGATATGCATTCAGTCACCTCCAACGATACTTAATGAAGTCGAATGTATTGTGCATCCCTCAGAGAATGATCAACGCTGAGAGCCTTAGAGCTTTAATATTCCAGCTTCAATCGGCTTTCATATAGTGCATTGGCACCCAGGTGCATTACTCCATCGTACACTTTTCCACTGTTTATCGCTACATTGCCATAGATACATAGTCACGCTGCTGTCAACTGCTGGCTTCAATGTGAAAAAGTTTCTCAACTCTGCAGCTCTTGCGATTAATTCTAATGACGCTGTAAATTCCAATTGAATTTCATATCCCGTGATTTCCGAGAGGCTGCAAGATTCAGTTATTTTTTTGATAACATTTCTCTCTTGCCATTTTAAAGTCTTTTCTAGTAAAAAAAAAAAGCAATTCAACGACAAAATATGGTAACTTTGCTGGAAATTCCAACATTCTTCTTTTTATACATGTTTAAGGGGCACTTATAGCGCAGTGGTTAGAGTTGTTCCGAGATACTGGACCCATCGATTCAATCTCGCGCCCTGCCTCATTGAGCCTTCCAGTCTTTCGGGATCGGAAAATTGTTACCAGATTAGTTAGAGTATTCGCCAGTTAGGTTGTCTGCAAGGATAAAAAACCTGACTCGACGCAGCTTTGAATCACCCCTACAATGCTACAAATAGAGTCGAATGCATGGCACATCTCTAAGGAAGTAATTGCCAAACACCTTATCCTTTACACATATGCAGTTTGTGGTGACTATAAGTTGAAATCTACGGGTCTGCTAGTAGTTGCAGGGCTTATCTGTTTGAAACGATCCTAAACCAGCTTCAGCACATGTAGAACTATACTTTCCCCTTAGTTTGTCCTTGGTTTAGGATACAATCTGCATACAATCGAGCGTACCCACACAAATATGAATGGAGTTGATTGGATGTATTTGAAAGGAATACGACAATGTGTCGAAGCATAGACAGCAAGCCGCAATAAAGTACACGATGACCGGC